ACAGACGATAGTTAGCGTAAAAATCTCCGTAGCGTGGCGCCACGCTAGACGGCGAAAATTATATATTTAATTATAACAAAGTTACAATAAGTTAATATATAATTATATGTACAGTAGCTAATTTATATATAATTTATATAATACTGTCCAGACGATAGAAATCTCTCCGTAGCGTGGCGCTACAAACGGCGGGAAAGTAGTTCGGCTGCCCGATGACGTTTAACGTAATTATAGGTGGTTTTTTACTGTTTTTTACGGATACCGTCACAATTTTTTCGCAGTTTTATAGGAATCGTAATTATTGGGACCGTAATTATAGGGTGGTCGACTGTATATGTAAATTTTACACAAACGTTTTGATTTGATTTCCTTTAATTTGGCTTATTTTACTTTATAAGAATAATTAAACTCGTAAAATTTTATAAAATCGAATGACCGGTTTTGTCATTCTGTCGCCATTTTATTTGAAGAAGGAGGGTGAGAAACGAACGAAAACGTTCGAAAATTTAAAATATCTTTGCATCTTAATAACGTCCCTTTACACTACATTGTTAATTAAATTAACAAAACTTTAATAAGAGGCGGTTCGAATTTATCACCGTTTTCGTGTCAAGAATTTATAATCGACCAAGCTAATCCGGTTGATTACAAATTCCCGATACCAGAACGGTACATATTACAGACTAGTCTAAAAACAGGTTTCACCTTAGATTTAACATATAAGGTCATATAAGTGTGTGAAAAGGTCAAGTGAAGACTTCATTTTTGGATTTAAAGAACACTTTTAGTGCTACATGAAAATGCCTAAAAGAAATGAAATATGTAATCAACCTTATTTATTTTCTATCTTAAATTTGCACTTGATAAGTATGTATCATCTTTACACACTGCTAGATAATAATTTTGAATGTAAAAAAATAAAAAAAATATACTGTAACTAAAGCTTTTTAATACTAGCGCCATAATTATATGCTTTATAATATTGTAATATATTATTTTTATGTATATTTAATTTCAATATAAATAAAATAAAGTAATACACTAGAGCACATTTCTACTTCTACTAATAAAAATTAAGAAAAAAACTGTTTTTTTAACAGTGGTTTCGCGAAAAACATCACTCATTCTATGTTTAAAAGCATTTATTACCCGATAATTTTTAACGACGCCAAAATAATATACAGCACTGCTGAACCGATACGGCTTTTATCCTGTGATTATTTGCATTTGTTTAACAGTGTTCTCACACATTTCACTGGAAAATTGTATGTATTTAAATACAAAATATTCGTGTTAGTGAAATTTAACTTTAAAATTCACAAGTACCAGTAATATTTAACAAATATGTTTTTAAAAAAGTATCTACTTCCACTTTATTTATTCTGTTATTATATGCAGCAAATAGCATTATAAGTATAAAAATATATGAATTTATAAAAGCAATAATAATTACAAAATACAGCTCTCCCTTCATAATCTTACAGGTATGAGACCAAAAGGGTGTTGGATTACTAAAAGTGTCCGGGTTATCGAAAATAATTACATATTTTGCATTGTTTTGTTAGCAGTAGCTTACAATATTCCCTACTCTAACTGTTCGAATAGAACTGCTCACAGAAACACAGGAAATGTATGTCGTTGTGTAAGAATTGGATGGAAAGATTCACGTCGCGACATGCTTCTGTGCAAGCAGACACGTAACGGGGTCGAGTAACTTGAAGGGAGGTACGTCGGACTACTGAGCATGTCGGATTAAAAAAACGTCGGACTATCAAACGAGAGCTGCACGTGTCAAATTTCAGTTGAAATACTCTTTTTTGAATATATTAAAGCAATCTTGCTCCTAATAAAAGAAAACATCAACTAAAAGCAAAAAATAATTTTATGTTGTCTTCTAAGCAAGTAATCATTTATTATATGTAATATTACAATATTCAAAAATTTTCATAATAATTATTAAATATTAATACTAACTTAAATAAGATGTTTTTGAAAAATAAACGATTAGAGAATATTTATTATGATAATCCGGTCGTCAGGTCGAAAAACTAATCAGCAGCATTGTATATTAACATTCGAAAATATTTATTTCTAGTAAATTTTTAATGAAATATTATTCCTATTAAATAGAATTGGAGTAAAATATGATTAAAAATTTGACGCTTAATTTTACGATAAAAAATATCGGAAAAAATGAAGTTTCTTACATCTAGAATTACAGACGGCGTTACTGGGTTTATTCAAATTTGAAAAACCTTCCGTTACAACCCAATCGTTAAATTGTTCCGAGGAAAAATGGAAGAAAAGTTCTCGGCCATTCAAAGGTAAAACTTTATAATCAGTCCGTCCGGCGCTGTTTTAATTATTGATTAAAGGACTATGGAACAAGTTGGTTNGAAAATTGAATGTATTTAAATACAAAATATTCGTGTGCAGTAAAATTTAACTTTAAAATTCACAAGTAATATTTGACAAATAATATGTTTTTAAAAAAGTATCTACTTCCACTTTATTTATTCTGTTATTATATGCAGCAAATAGCATTATAAGTATAAAAATATATGAATTTATAAAAGCAATAATAATTACAAAATACAGCTCTCCCTTCATAATCTTACAGGTATGAGACCAAAAGGGTGTTGGATTACTAAAAGTGTCCGGGTTATCGAAAATAATTACATATTTTGCATTGTTTTGTTAGCAGTAGCTTACAATATTCCCTACTCTAACTGTTCGAATAGAACTGCTCACAGAAACACAGGAAATGTATGTCGTTGTGTAAGAATTGGATGGAAAGATTCACGTCGCGACATGCTTCTGTGCAAGCAGACACGTAACGGGGTCGAGTAACTTGAAGGGAGGTACGTCGGACTACTGAGCATGTCGGATTAAAAAAACGTCGGACTATCAAACGAGAGCTGCACGTGTCAAATTTCAGTTGAAATACTCTTTTTTGAATATATTAAAGCAATCTTGCTCCTAATAAAAGAAAACATCAACTAAAAGCAAAAAATAATTTTATGTTGTCTTCTAAGCAAGTAATCATTTATTATATGTAATATTACAATATTCAAAAATTTTCATAATAATTATTAAATATTAATACTAACTTAAATAAGATGTTTTTGAAAAATAAACGATTAGAGAATATTTATTATGATAATCCGGTCATCAGGTCGAAAAACTAACCAGCGGCACTGTATATTAACATTTCGAAAATATTTATTTATAGTAAATTTTTAATGATATATTATTCCTAGTAAATAGAATTGGAGTAAAATATGATTGGAAATTTGATGCTTAATCCTACCATAAAAATATCGGCGAAAATGGAAGTTCTTTTATCTGAAATTACAGACGGCGCCACTGGATTTATTCAAATTTGGAAAACGTTCCGTTACAACCCAATCGTTAAGAGACGTTTGAGTAAACGACGAGAAAGAAGACGAGAGATATTAGGAAATTCTTCCGAGTAAAAAATGGAAGAAAAGTTCTCGGCCATTCAAAGGTAAAACTTTATAATCGGTCTGTCGGGCGCTGTTTTAATTATTGATTAAAAGACAATGGAACAAGTTGGTTGTTGCAATAGAGAATTCTTTGATACGCCTACAGAAATATTTACAAAAATTATAAAAATCCATAACGGGTTTAAATGCGGAGTGTTTTCTTAACTAAATTCTTAGAGAAAAGTCGAGAATAGTTTTATTTTTCACTCGGTTGATACCTTACAATTATTTGAGTATTTGAAGACAGAGTGATGATTTTGTTGTACTTTCTTCTGTATTACGAAGTGAACGGAAGCTTATGGAATTCTCATGCAGAAATGGATTTGTCTTTTATCATTTCTTTGATCGTCATCACTTTATTTCAACATTCAAGAAATTAAAGTAATGATATATACTGCTGATCTGAAGAAAATCTCGTTCACGATTACGTTAGAAAGAAAAAAAAGGAAGATTTCCTAAGTCGCTGAGGACAATTTCTCAGGTAACATTGAATGGCCCTAGAGTTTGGTTTCTGGGGTGTGCTAACAAGTATAGAAAGTGCTTTACGTTTTTCTGTTGAATGAAGTCTCCCTGACTTATTGTAAACAAACGTAAGAACATCTTTCAATTTTTCTTAGGCATTGTTAAAACCACAATTTTTAGGAAAAGGTTAGAAATGGTTGTTTTTAAAATTTCAAATTCTTTAATCAAAGCTGTAAAATATGGAAATAAAAGGAAAGGATCTTCATAAAATACAGTATTCTTGATTAAGAAAGTTATATTAAAAACGTTTATTTTTCAGATCTTGAACCCAGCTTTAATTCTGTGGCGTGACGTGTCGAAGAAAGAATTTCTAAAATTATATAATTTGAAATATTTAACTTGTTTTATAAAATAATGTATGACGTCACTCTCGTATCTCATTTCAGCCAAAACTTTATTTTCAGATTCACTATTAAGCAATAAGGAGAAGAGAAACAAATGAAGAATTATACAAGAATATGAAAAAGGAAGAATATATGTCAAGCAAATGAAAAGAAACAGAAAATGAAATGAAGAAGATATTTTAAATAATTTTCAAATATGTTATTTGTTAAAATACATTTCATATAAATTGTTTTGAGATAAATGTATAAATTACATTAATTTGTGGTAGTATGTTTATACTGCTTGGAGATATTCGCAAATACTAATCTAAGCAGTTTATGTATGATCTATTGTCTGATGTGATGTGGTCCAGTTAGTTGTAAGGTTTAAACTTTAGTTTAAAGAAACTTGTTAAAAGGAAAATTTTTTTCTATCTGCACACACACTTTAACAATCCTTTAAAATCAGATATTAATTTTAGATATTTACATATTCGATTAGCAATAAACAGAAGGCAGTTTTTGCTTTAATGCTTTTATGATATTTTACAGGTTTAAACAATCAGAAATCAAGAAATGGGAAGTATCGATGTGGCAGTTGCGAGAAAGAATTCGTTTCGAAAAATGGGTTAAAATGTCATCGAAGGATTCACACTGGAGAGAAACTTTTTGCCTGTGATCATTGCAAACAACGTTTTACACAAAAAGGAACTCTCATTCGACATCTTCGAACCCACACAGGGGAGAAGCCATTCTCTTGCGACCATTGCAACCGAAGTTTTACGCAAAAATATCATCTGATAGAACATCTTCGTCTTCACACCGGAGAGAAACCATTCTCGTGTAATCATTGCTCACAAAAATTTCGTGTTAAACGTTCTTTAAAGTATCATATTATTAAACATCATAATAGTAATGAATAATGACTATTATGGGAATGATTTTAGAATATTTCTTCGAAAAATATGTAATACTCGTATTTTAGATTTTATTGAATATGAAACAAGAAATTTCTAAAGTTTGATTTTCTTGGTTTTGTAACTTTGATTTTGTACACAAAACAGTTTATTTTATGTACCGAAAAAAGAGGGTTTGTGAAATTAATTTAAATTTCATTGATTAAAAAGTAATAGTTATTTATAGTAATTTTTACTTGTTTAAGTACGTGTCATTTACTTAGTGCGATAACATTGATTTCTATTATTTACGGAGAGTTCGTTTATTGTTAGAATAAGTGTATTCAGAAACATGACAAGTAATTGTGTTCACACAAAGGTCAGTTATTGTCACTCGCTTTATTACAATAAGTTAATTCACTGTAAACGTTGTTTTTTAATATCATAAACAGTAAAAAATTCTAATAACGAAAAGTTTTCATTTGAAAAATAGATATATCACACAGACCATTAACTTCTAAACTTAAAGTGAAATAAATACGAGTTAAACATTGCGGGACATAATTTTTTAGGTATTGTATTTGAGAAATTTTACATTATAATACATTAAAGTGATTTTTGCCTTACGAACAGTTTGAATTTCATTGAACTGAATAAAAAAAAACTGATGATATTTTAGACACGAATCGTGCGTAACTGACAAATTAATCGACGCCAAAGTTACTACTACCATCAATTTTGCCAGCCCGCCGCTCGGGAAGACTCTTGTTCGAGTCCCGATCACTTTTGAAAATTTTCGGGGAAGATTTGACCCACGGACTTATGTCATCACTGCATAGAGTTCTGTTACGAATCTGTCTCTGCAATAATGAAAGGGTCTTCCTTGCAGACAGAACCAAAACTTCACAAAAATCAATCGTTTTGGAATAATTCTGTTTAACACTGTTAATTAATTAAATTAATGTTGAGAAAACTTCACTTTTATTTTAAAAATTCATTCAAATGTATTATTCTTAAATTAAGTAAATAATATATACTGTATATGAAACACACCTTACTACTGAGAGACTTTGTCTATTACGTTGAACAAACGTTTTAACTCACTCAATGGGTCATCATTACGTTATTAATGTTATACGAAACTTTACACTAGTTCGTTTACGATTGTTGTTATCGAATCACTAAGGAATTTANCATTCAAATGTATTATTCTTAAATTAAGTAAATAATATATATTGTATATGAAACACACCTTACTACTGAGAGACTTTGTCTATTACGTTGAACAAACGTTTTAACTCACTCAATGGGTCATCATTACGTTATTAATGTTATACGAAACTTTACACTAGTTCGTTTACGATTGTTGTTATCGAATCACTAAGGAATTTAAATTATGCTAAATTCAAAATAAAGGAAGTAGAAACCATTTAAATAGTCCATTAAATACCGAATCAAACAAACTATAATAAAATAATATACATTACAGTAAAACAAATATAAATACAGTAGAACATCGATTATCCGACTCAATTGGGGCCTGGAGTTGGTCGGATAATTGAAAAGTCGGATAAAGTATGAAAAAATCCATTCTTAGTGTAGTATATTATTATATCCCATATTATTATAATCCATATAATTACATCCCATATAGTATTTTAGTATATCGCTATTAACCTAGTTCGCGTTGAATTTTCCTCCATGTTAAGCCTATCAAATTTTTTAAAAAAATAATAATCGCCGCTATTGTATCGCTAAAAATTAGAAAGTTAAGCCTCGTTTAAATACTGGCTTCCTTTCATGGTCGATCCAGTGTTGCCAGCTAAAACAGTAAAAATAATATTAAAGTAGCGAAGACATAGCCAAATATTGTAGCTTCAAATGTCAAATGTCCAAAATTCAAATGTCCACATCAAATGTCCAAAAACAAAAATGTCAAATGTCCACAATTCAAATGTCCACATCAAATGTCCAAAAACAAAAATGTCAAATGTCCAAAAATTCAAATGTCCACATCACTAGCGGACATTTGAATTTTCGGACTAGAATGCTGTCGGTAAACTGAGGTAACGGTTAAACGGAGGCCAAATAATCGATGCTCTACTGTATAACAACACAAAATTTTTACAATGACCGCGTGCTCCGCATTACATTATAAGCTCTCTTTGATTATGTAAATACTGTAGAACCTCGATTATCCAGACCAGTGTTTTTCAACCTGTGGGTCGCGACCCACAGGGGATCGCAAAGCTTTACTCGGGGGGTCGCGGGTAAAAGAAAAAACAAGTGTTTGTAGGTCCTACACTACAATAAAGAAAACTACAATTTCAGTGAGAAGGCTGTATCTGTTTATTTTACAGTACAATTGATTTGTCAATTGATATTTAGGTCTCAACAGAAAGAAAATTAAATACGTAGTTTTTAAAATCACTGATATAAATTTAATATGGCCCTGGGGGGTCGCCAGAATTTTTTAACTTGTAAAGGGGTTGCGTATTCAAGAAGGTTGAAAAACATTGATCCAGACTAATTGGGGATTATGGTAGTCTGGATAAGGAAAAATCCGGATAATCGAAACAAATACTTTAATTTATTTTTTAATGATAATACAACACGTTTTCTTTTCGATGACGTATCGGTATTATTAAAAATAAATACTGTATTTAAATCGTGATCAAATTTTCAAAAAACAAACGTTCGTATTGAATTTGGTCTACTACTGACCAGCGGTAACAGACTAGCTATTGTTTAAAAGGCCCTCTGGTGGCTCAAGAAGACGGATTTTATAAAATAAAAAGCAGTTGAAACTGCATTTTTATGAATAAAAATTTGACAAACTATTTATCGTTTTATGACGAGTAAAATTTTTTCGTCACGTTCTCGGCTTTTAAGTAATGCATAAACCTTCGAGGC